CACGTAATTATCACCCAGTCCTTCACAATTACATTTTCACTCACACTAAAATTCTAGCTTTGAATAAGGCATTCCCTGCAGTACGGACAATTGCACTGCCACTAACCGTGAAGAGTAAGTGAGCACTTTAAAACAGAGCCACTTTTGGTATTTACATGGCCTCTATACCATCTCCTAGTTGCAACAGTAGCCACTTTAATTTTTATTGTCCTTTGTTTAGAAGTGCTGAATAGAAAAGGAAGAATATCAAGGAAAATAGATGGAAAGCACTGTGCTCATAGCCAGGTTTTTAGTCAGTTTACATTCCTGCACATTTTATATTTCAGTTGATTGTAATAATAATGGACCAACATACCAGACAGGTGGAAGTGCTTGAGGGCCACTGAGCACAGAATTTTCCTAAAGTATCACAATTACAGAAACACCTGTGCTGTGTAACCTTGTGCTGATTCACCATAAAAATATGCAGCGGGTTTAAGTATGCTCTAAAATTGAGATTTCTTACTTGGTGTGAAATGGCTTAATGGATAGACAGTAGGCTTAAAGGGGCGGTATCAAGTTGTTTGGAGAGCCACATTTGCCTGAAATTGTTCCAACTGTGCGATTGTCTTCTAAATTAGCTATCTCGGTACAGTGGTTGCCATGAAAACCTTTCAAACTGTTATGGTCATATCCTCTATAGATAAGGCGACAATATAGGGGATACCACAGCAACTCTAGATAGGCAGATAAAATTGTAATGGTTTTTGTAGCCATCATTTGGATGTATCCACTCACAAGATGAAAATCGCCAGTACATATATTATAGCCCATAGGGAGAGGAAGGGAACACAATACAGTTGCATTGCTTTAATGGATGTTGGAGATATTCACAGGACCAAAGGCAGCCATTTTGGCCTATGAACCACAGGAAACCAGCAACCAATGTTTACCAAATGGAGAGAGAAAACAGAAAGGGACAATGAGCTGACAGAGGTATTGCTGTTTTCAAGTCAGACGTTCCTAAAAATAGAGATTAAAAGTTGTAAAGAATATAAAGTGTTTCTTAAAGAATGGCAGTGTTTCTTTAAGAAGTGATCAGAACACTAGCCACGCTAGTTCAATATGCCATGAAGGACCTGAAAAGACTTTTGGCTGGAGTCCATGTTGCACCCTTTTAAGAGGGGCAGCAAAGAAAGTATCATTCAGAATTCTTTCTCTGTCTTTATGCTTTTTCCAGTCTCACGTTACATAGCCCAAGTAATGGGATTTGTACCACATTGTTGTCGAGAGACGTTCTGCCTGTAAAATAGTGAGTGCTGAAGATTAACAAAAGAAAACAAAACAAATGAAAAGCTGCACTTTGCTTCTGATGGAGCCATCCAGACATGTCACACTGAGAGAGGTAGCTCTATGGACTCCATAGAGCAGCCTTCTATATCAAAGCAATAGCTCTTTTTTTTCTTAGATAAAATAGCTTAATAAAAAGTAGAGGGATACAAAAATACCAGGCATTGCTGTCAGAATTGAAAGCAGGATCAAAAAGTGAACATATGCTTATTTTAATTTAGATTATTTTAAAGCTTATTTCTTCTCCGGTTGTATTTTCTTTTAAATCTTTTTGGGAGTTCTATGGAAGTGAGTGTGTTTGTGTTTCTTAAGGAAGCTGCTGCACTATAGCTCAGAGACAGCATAAATATCATGTGATGCAGCAGTTGCTAAGGGTAACCACACATCTTCTCTGTAGTTTCTTTAGCCCCAAATGCCCATTCCTAATGATGTCCGTGATACCATGAAATCTTTTCATTTGACCTCCAAGGTTGGCAGGATACATGATAAAAAGTACTAAGGCACAGACCTCCGGAATGAATGGATCCAGACCTTCATCCTCAGGAGCAGAAAAGAGAGCAACCATCGACTATATGAAAACATGACCTCAGTGCAATACGTATGAAGCATGAAAACAGACTGAACAATTCAGGACGTGACTATGGGCAGCAATGTTATCAGTTTTCATGCCCTTATTAACATACTGACAGTAGTGAAAATTGCATTTCTAACGTTACTAAAAGATTAAAAAAGCTTTTCCATAAGATCAAACGTTGTGGGCTCAGTGAAATATTTAATAGCAGATATTGTTAGCACAGACTAAGTGTGTATATATCTATCTGCTTTTGGCCAGGTTCAGTGAAATTGGATGGCAGATGTTTTTCATGGTCAAGAGGAAAAAAATACATTTTCAGTAAAATTCACAGGGAAAATTGGTCTATTACAGCTAGGAAGGTTTGATTCCTTAGCAGAGCACATGTTGCACCACAAAATCCTTTCAGAGTGCACCAAGAAAATCACCTTCAGTTTTCAAATCATAGAACATGAAATGTGATTGCTACACTTGACAAAGCAAACCAAGGTGATCCATAAAAGAAGCCATTTATTTCCATAATGTATTTATTTAATACTGTGAACATTTTAATAAACAGACCAAACAATAAGGCCACATTGCTACTCTGAGGCTACATCCACACTGTACAGTTATTTTGGAATAAGCTATTCTGGAATAGCTATTCCTCAATACCTTATTTCAAAATAGCACATCTACACTGCAGGGAAGCCTCAAAATTAGTCTGAGGCAGGCTTCCCTAGTGGAGACATGCTATCTTGATTTAGAGCCCCAGAAGGAATAACTTAGAATGGCCCAGGTGAGGGGCTATTTCGAAATAGCAGAAGTGGAGCATCTATACATGCTTTATTTTGAAATAGATATTTCTGAATAGGCATTATTCCTCATAGAATGAAGTTTACAGAAGTTGGAATAAGCAGTCCATTATTTCAAAATTATTTCAAACTAATAGAATTGCTGTGTAGACACTCACATAGTTATTTTAGAATAACAGCCATTATTCTGAAATAACTTTGCTGTATAAGCAGCAAGGAGTCCTGTAGCATCTTATAGACTAACAGATGTATTGGAGCATAAGCTTTCATGGGCAAAGACCCACTTCATCAGATGCATGTAGTGGAAATTTCCAGAGGCAGGTATAAATATGCAGACAAGAATCAGGCTAGAGATAATGAGGTAAATTCAATCAGGGAGGATCTACTAACATAATATATGCCATCATGTGCTAGCAATGCCCCTCTGCTATATACATTGGCCAAACTGGACAGTGCCTACGCAAAAGAATAAATGGACACAAATCAGATATTAGGAATAGCCAGGGCTCGCCAAGCGGCAGTGAGCCCCGCTTGCCAGCCACACAGTTCTGCGCTCTGCGCATGCACAGATCGTACTGCACATGCACAGATCGCACCGCGCCGGCTCTTCCGGGGTGTCATCTACTTGCCATGGGCCCTGGGAATAGCAATATGCAAAAACCTGTAGGGGAACACTTCAATCTCCCTGGACACACAACAGCAGATTTAAAGGTAGCCATCCTGCAGCAAAAAGACTTCAGGACCAGACTTCAGAGAGAAACTGCTGAGCTGCAGTTCATCTGCAAATTTGACACCATCAGCTCAGGATTAAACAAAGACTGTGAATGGCTAGCCAATTACAAAAGCAGTTTCTCCTCTCTTGGTGTTCACACCTCCAGATCAGCTGCTAGAAGTGGACCTCACCCTCCCTGATTGAATTTGCCTCGTTATCTCTAGCCTGATTCTTGCCTGCATATTTTATTTATACCTGCCTCTGGAAATTTCTACTACATACATCTGACGAAGTGGGTCTTTGTCCACAAAATCTTATGCTCCAATACATCTGTTATAAGGTGCTACAGGACTCCTCGTCGCTTTTGCAGATCCACACTAACGCGGCTACCCCTCTGATAAAGAACGTAATGTTATACTCCGGTGATTTAAAAGAGCCTGGGGACTTCTGGCCACTGCCAGCAGTGCAGCAAGACTAAGGCAGGCTTCCTGCCCGCCATCACTCCACACTGCCCCTGAAAACTGCGTGATTTAAAAGGACTTGGGGACTCCTGGCCACTGCCAGCAGTGCAGCAAGACTAAGGCAGGCTTCCTGCCCGCCATCACTCCACACTGCCCCTGAAAACTGCCAGCACATCCCCAAGGCGCGTGTGCGTATCTCCGTGCATTGCCGCCCTAAGCACCGAATCTGCAGCACATTAGTTGAAAACTACACGGGTGGTCCCTGCAGATAATGGTGCCCGGAGACTCCATGGCACCCCTGCCTAGAAGCTGCAGCTAGAGGTATGTGCCGCTCACGTTTGGGAACTCCCAAGGTAAGTGCTGACCCCCTGACCTCCTCCTGCACCCTACCTCCTGCCTAACACAGAGCCTATAGTGTGCACCCAAACTCCCTTCTGTGCCCAAACTCCCTCCTAGAGCATGAACCTCCTCCCACATCTCAATCCCATACCTCAGCCTGGTAGGGTTCGGAAGAGTGAATGGCAGAGAGAGGAGAGGATGGAGCAAAAAGGGGCAGGGCCTCAGAAGGGGTAGCACAGGGGCATGGCCTCAGGGAAGGAGTGGGACAGAGGGGCAGAACAAGGGTCTTTGGGTTTGTGCAATTAGACAGTTGCCTATTGGGCGGGTATGTGTGAGACCTGGCCATGCCAGAAAAGAACACTAAGAAGCATAGCCAATAGTGCCAGCAGGCACCAGCCAGAGCAGGTGCAGCATCTCTCATGTGAGCACAGCTTGTGGGGAGGGAGGGACAGGCGGGAATGTGATTGATTGTTTTGCCCTGGAGCCCAGAATTGCTGTCTGTGGGCCTGTTTATATTATACCAGTGTTTAACTGAGCATTGAACTGCTTGGCATGGAACATGGGCAAAAGATAGCTTTTGTCAATAGCAACTCAATTAAAAATGGTTAGAACTGTTATCTGAAATAGCAGGGTCGAGTTTGGGAGATACTAATCAATATTAAAGAAGCAATTTGAGAGCACTGGTAAAATGGAATCTAACTTTTATCACGGGCATACAAAACTCGCTGTACTTTTGAATTAGTGCAAAATACAGAGACATTTTTAAATCAAAAAGTTTTAAAGTGACACTTTACCTGCAAGGCCCAACATGAATGATTGCAGCATGAGCAGTTCCCATAGCAACCTCATTTTCAGTTTTCGAAGTTAAAGGAGGCTCGAGTCCAAAAAATGGAATCTAACTTTTATCACGGGCATACAAAACTCGCTGTACTTTTGAATTAGTGCAAAATACAGAGACATTTTTAAATCAAAAAGTTTTAAAGTGACACTTTACCTGCAAGGCCCAACATGAATGATTGCAGCATGAGCAGTTCCCATAGCAACCTCATTTTCAGTTTTCGAAGTTAAAGGAGGCTCGAGTCCAATAACTAGTGAATAGGATGCTGCTTCTTTTGAGTTTACACACCTTTAATCTGTGGAGGAGAAAAAGAGAGATACATTGCAATGAGATTTAGGATTACAGTTCTTTATACTGGGAGAGCACATCTTTCCATGTGAGCTAAATGAAATTAACCCCTGGAGGAAGAGAGAAATTGTTGCTTTATAAAATCAGTTGGGATCTGCACAACAAAAAAGAGGATTTACAGAGTATGTTTGGGTATTACCGAGTATGTCTGAGCAATGTATTTGTGAGAGGGGCTGTCTAAGGGTACGTCTACACTTGCTCCCTAGTTTGAGCTAGGGATGCAAATGTAGGTGACTGAAATTGCTAATGAAGTGAGGATTTAAATATCCCACACTTCATTAGCATGATCTCGCCAGCACGTTACTCCGCTCAACAGCTGATTCTAAAGTGAGAGTGTGCGCTGGGATGCGTTAGTTCGAACCAAACCCCTTGGTTCGAACTAACGGGTTTGGTTCGAACTAACCTGTCCTGGTGTGCACTTCCTGGTTCAAATCAGCTGTTGAGTGGAGTAACGTGCCAGTGAGATCATGCTAATGAAGTGCGGGATATTTAAATCCGCACTTCATTAGCAATTTCGGTCGCCTATATTTGCATCCCTAGCTTGAACTAGGGAGCAAATGTAGACGTACTTTAAGTGATCTGAGCATAGAACTGAGAATCAGACTCTTGTGACATAATCTTGGTTCTGCATCCTCCACTTTCTCTGTTACCTTGGACAAGGCATTTTAGCTTCTCTCCCTCACATTTCCCATGAGGGTGCTATGATTAGTTCATCATTTATGTAAAACACTTTGAAGATGAAAGAATTAGTATTATCCCTCTTAACAATTTGGCAACTTCCAAGTACGTCAGCAAAACTGTAGCTACCTACAGAAATTGTAAATGTCACTGTCCAAAGGAGACTGACTCTAGAACAGAGAGAGGGAAAACTATGGCCCACAGGCCACATCCAAACCATGGGATCCCTCTGTCCAGGCCCCGGGCTCCCATGAGGGAGTGGGATCAAGGCAGTCTTTCTGGGAGGAGCTAGCCCAATTCTCAGGCAAGTAGGGGTGGCAAGTCCCCAGCTTCTTCTGCTTCTGTCCCCTTCACTACAAACTCAACAGTGGATGGAACAGGTGCTGCACTGCCAGCCCTGATCCTCTGGGCAGCATGGTCGGGTGGAGGGGATGGGAGTTGGATGGAAACAAAGATCCTAGGATGGGGTTCGTTGAGGGAAGGGAGCATGGAGGTTGGATAAGATGAGGGAAGTCCCAGGCACTGGTCAGGGAGTGGGGAGCAGAGGAATTGGTTGAAGTCTGGGGTTCTAGAGGGTCAGGTGGCAGGAAGCAGGGGGAGCAGGGTAGAGGGCAGGGGCTGGGCCAGGCCTGGCTATTTGGAGAGGCACTGACTCCCCCAGCCTTTCTACCTGGCCCTCCACACAATTTCCATACCTGATGTGGCCTTCAGGCCAAAAAGTTTGTCTGCCCCTGCTCTAGAGGGTGGTGAGGCCTTCTCTCTGCCTATCAAATCAGGACTCTTTCTCTCTCTCCTCATGACCTTGCAGTGACAGTCATCTTGGCATTCATTCCTAAACTCAGATTTCCTGCATGACTGCATGCTGTGTTACCACTAGACTATCAGGCCAGCCAAGGATCACAGGGCTGAAAAACATTTAAGAGTTACATCAATCTGTCTTAAGGTAATAAATTGTCTGTAGAGCATGACTTTTACACCCATCCTCTCTCTGGGAAGTTTTTCTAAAGCATCCACCTTGCTGGGCATGCTCAGGTAAGGAACCTAAAACACACTGGAAACTCTTAGTGAACTTAGCAACCAAGCATTTTCAAATGAAACCTGATCTTTTCTTGGCACTCTAATCTCCATTACAAATTAGGGGGAGAAAATACCCCTTCTCTATATAGGGTTCCTCTCCGGAAATAACTGCAGCAGGCATTTAAAAATTATAAATCAATAAACCAACCAAATCATACATTCTTATCATTTATTCATATCTCTGACGTCTGAAAGTTAAGGGGCCTTCATGTTTACAAGACAAATTGCATGAACTAATAGAAAGTGAAGTGGTATCATTAGAAGTCCCTGGTTGCTTTGGTGAGTTAAAATTGATAAGATTCTTCTAATAAAGTCAGGTTCTATGCGCAGAGAAGACTAGGAATCTTTATCTTATGATCTGGAGATATAATTTGAAGAGGGTGAAAACTAATTGAATATATTCAGATATACTGACATGCATGGTGATTAGACTGCTGTAGATAGGCAGAAAGGGCTGATCAATGAAACTAATAAAATCTTAAGTGAATGATTAGGGTATTAATAATTAATTTTATTTTAAAAAATGTCATCACTGACCTCCGAATTGATCTAACACGTTGAGCCAATTCTCTCTCGTAGCAATTAATGAGGAAAAATACCCAATTTTGTAATACAGATTTCATACTTGGTAAAAGGCTTGTTATGCTCTATGTGCCAAATTGTGCCCTCTGTTACAGTAACATTAATACAGGGTAACACCACAGAATTCAAGAAAGTTATTTCCTATTGAAATCAGTATAACAGGCTTAGAATTTTACCCTATGTTCAACATCATGTTGTGAATTTTTTCTTAGCATTCTGGTTTCCCAACAATGTACTCTCACCAATAAGCAGGTATCTTTAGGATTATTCTGCTCATTTCATGTAGTAAACTGAGTGAAATTTGAGAATAATAATTAACATGTAGCATTTACTTTGGTACCTAATTAAGAAGGCCAAAGGTAGGTTAAATTAATTGTGGTATCCTATTTCCAAAAAATATCTCCAATGCACATACAGACACATGCCATAAAAACACAGTTATTAGCATACAGAAAGACTAACTATGATGAGCCACAGGGATACAAAGTTGCTGAGGTGCCTCATCAACACCTGACTTTAGCATGAAGTCTTATCTATGTATCCCACCTCTTATCCATTGAATGCTCTCAAAAATACCAGGCCCTCTGTTCCCAATGACAATACATACCAAATTATAAGATTTTTACTCCGGGTAATTTCTCTGCTTATTACCATACCTCTGAGATATATCTACAGTGAAAGCAAAAATATTTTGTATTATCAAAGGACAGAGACTGAAGTGAAAGTGAGTAGGAATATCAGAAACAAAATGGTTACACGCAAAACAAAATCACAACATGCATTCTAGAGACCAAACCACCAGCAAGGAGTTGTCTTGTCTGCAAGAAACTTTTCTCATCCAAAGTTCTCTCCAAGATTTCAACCAAGCCTGGTTGTAATCCCATCCCCATGCAGTAAACTCATTGCCCATTTAATTCCTTGGAAGGATGAAAAAGATGTTCCTTGTATATAGTAAAGCAACCCTTCATTAGCAGCTCAAGATAGGTCACCTCTCCCTTTCCCACAACTGCTTGCTTTCCTATTAATTTTCTTCTTTGAAGTTCCCACAATCCTTCATTAACATTCAATGAATGTCATAATTTTCAGTGTAAATACATAACTCCTTACACAACATGCGTACATGCTTTTCAAAATGACAACTAGTGTGACACTGGCTTTTATTTGAGACTTCACATCACATTCTTTTGTGAACTAGAATGCAAATAGCAGACCCAGGAGACATCTGTACCCTATACACCAATTCTTTGCCCCTTGCCAATTGGCATTAAGGGTGCTGTCTACCCAGTGCCAAATTTTAAAAAGTGCTATTTCAACAAATCCCTTAACCCTCGTGGAACAAGGGTTACAGGGATGCTGGAATAGTGTACCCATTATTTCAAAATATATTTTGAAATAACGGGTGCGTTTAAAGACCCGAAATAGCTCCACTGTGTAGATGTAAATTACAAGGTTCCTGGAACACATTCACCCTGTCAGTCTTTAGTATGATTTTCAAGAAACAACTTTCCAAGTGGTTCACATGCATCTCTGTGAGGAAAAGAATTATAGCTTCCATTTTACAGATGACATACTGAGAATACTGAGGCTAGAAGCTGTAGGGGTTAATTGTGGAAGAACTGTGTATGTGTAAGTTTAGGGATGGGGAGACATGCATTCCCACCTTCCCCTTTTCCCTATATCTGATGAGCCAGAAGCAAGTCTCTAGGAACATACACCATTTAAGATAAGCAATGGTGCCAGTATAGCAAAAACAAGTTGTAGATAAGGGTGAATGGCAGGAACATATAAACAATCCTGTTTACCCTAATGTACTAATCATGCAAACAAGGCCAAAGGACAAGTAGAACCAGATCAGTTCCAGATGGATAGTTAACAGCTAAGCCATACATCAGCAAGTAATGAGTAACTCCTGGAAATATCTAAACTGCCAAAAAGGTAGAAACACTGTATTTAAAGCTGCACCGGGGCACAACAATTTGAACCTCACTGATGGGCTTTGGTACCAGTGCCTTGGAAGCCAAGACAGTCTCCTGCTTCATCCGCAGCTGAAACGGGGTTCCCAGCTTGCAGAAGAGATACAAAATGCCGCTTTTCCTATCATGCTGTTCTTTTAATTAAGAGGCACAGCTGATAGCTGTCAGAAAATAAACTGCTTGTGTTTGACAGATACCTGTGCAGCGTGTTTTGGTACTTTGAGAACCCTGAAACTTACTCTTGCTGGTAATAGAAGCTTCATGAGACTTACTCTTGCTGGTAATAGAAGCTTCATCCAAAAAGCCGATTGAAGGTCTTCCATTGATTCAGTGGGCTTTGGGGATAAGTTTGTTGGCAACTCAATCAAATTTGATGAACAACCAAGTCACTGCCAGAACTGGAACTAGATGCATGGTGTTCTGGCTTGCAGCTGCCAGATACAGCCATTCATATCACATCTCGAACACCTATGCTAACCAGATTATTCTTCTGTACGTTTTCTTCCTTGTTTTTCTATAGGCATTGGAAAGCAGCCAAATGGCACTCTATCATTTAGGAGGCTCATCCTGCTATTTCTAACTCCTCCTGTGAAGGTGCTTCTTCTGAAAGAAACCTCAGAATGTGCCATGGCAGTCA